GTCTGGCTGCTGTGCTGAGCTCCTTCCCACTGCTGCCCTTGAGGGTGAACCTATTATGCCCCTGTGGCAAGATGATCTGCTCCTGGACTAGCTGGGTGGATCTATCCTCTACACTCTCTGCAGGGATTGCAGCTGCAGGGTTAATCCCCAGTCATGTACGCCAGGCCTGAGCTGTGCCTGGAGGGGGCAAGGTGAAGTAGGTGGAAGAGGAAGCTCTCCCACACACTCACCGGACCTGGGCTAGGACTGGGTCTGGGGCTTCCCGGAATGTGGCAGAAATTCCTACTCAGTCAGTGGGGTGGGGGATGTGCTGCGGAGTGGTGGGGGGTGTCCCAAGTTGGTGGGAGAGGGTCCGGCCCACATGGGCCTGGGCTGGGACTGGTCCCGCTGGTGCAGGGTAGCAGGAAGCTCTCCACACACTCACCGGACCTGGGCTAGGACTGGGTCTGGGGGTTCCCGGAATGCTGCAGAAATTCCTACTCGGCGGGCACGGTGGGGGAGGTACTGCGGAGTGGTGTGAGGTGGCCCAAGGGGGTGGAAGATTGTCTGGCCCATGCTGTGCCTGGGCTGAGATTGGTCCTGCCGGCGCAGTGTAGCAGGAAGCTCTCCCACACACTCACCGGACCTGGGGTAGGACTGGGTCTCCTGCTTAACCTATTGTCAAATTAATGATGTCAATAAAGCAGTTGTTAGCAAATACAAGATTGTGCATCAACCAAAATGTTTATGAACTCTGTATTTAGAAATCTCTATCAAAGATTTATTAATGAAGAAACAAAGGATACTTAAGGTCATTATTTTAAAGGGGAAGCTGACATAAAGAAGTTTACAACTCTGAACGCTGACAAGAGGTCTCATGTAATCCTGAATGTTTTGCAACACTGCCAGAGGCTGTCAGATATCCAAGACTGCGGACTTACCTGTTATGTCATAACCTGAGGCCTTGGCTTAATTGACAGGTAGTAAGACATAGATACTAGTCCTGTAATTATGTAATATAATCTCTGACTTTAACATTTTTTCCTGTTTTTCACAAAAAAGAAACCTTTTGAACAATTAAAAAAGAGATTTATCTTATATAGACGAGTGCTCCCATGTTGGGTTCATATATATTTATGAGTGTTACCTCTTCTGCTTGTATTTTTCCCCTCACCAGTATATAGTGGCCTTCTTTATTTCATTTTATTATTCTTGGTTTGAAGTTTGAGACTGTGAACAGGATTGCTACCCCTGCTATTTTTCTGAGCTACTGGGGCATGTAGTATTTTTTCCATCTTTTGTCTTTCAGCCTATGAATTTCTTTAGGAGTTAAGTGTGTTTCTTTTCTTTTCTTTTTTCTTGACACTCCATATTGCCTTGACAGGAAATTGTCCTAGCCCACACCTCCAACCTTCATTCAAACCATTAGCATCTGTTTTCTACAATACTCTAAAATTGAAGACCTGAACATTATACATCATTATGATCTCCTCTCTTCTTTTCAAGAACTTCCAAGAGGCAAGTTCTGCCATATGTATCTCAAAGGATGCTAAAACATGTCCAAATTGAACTCCCCAGTCATTTGAAGCCAAGACCAAAGCCCATCCTTATCTTCCAGATACTAATAATTTAGCATTTGTCAGTCACTTTTTCTAAAATTCAGTTCAGTCTTTAAAGTGCACAGTCATTTTAAAGATTCACAGTCATTCTGGAAGCATCTTCTGAACTTCCAGAGTTGGACACTTCTGAATGTGTCCTCCAACAATGAAAGAAATCCAGCCCACCTACCAGAGCCTCCAGGCTCCCTTTGCAGCTAGGTGATCCTTTAAGATGTAAAGTTGTTTTACTGCAAAGTATTTGAACTGGATGTACTCATTCAGGGCTTCTTACCAAATGAATCAGGTGTTTCTTCTCAAAAATCAAATGTGTTCCAGTTCTGAAAAATGTTCAGTCTTCCTGTTTGTTGCTATGGTACAAGTTCCTCAAGTCCTCCTTGTACCAGTGCTATCAACAATAGAAAAATTGAGAGCCTTGTTCCAATTCCTTTATTATTTTCTCTGACCACCTTTTTGCAGCAGAGCTGAGGAGCCACCACCTCATGTAAAGGAAATGAAGCAAAAGCACAGCAAATATTTTTCTGCTGTGCTCCCAGCTGGGAACAAGTTGGTCAACTGTGGATCAGTCACAGCCTTCCAGAGCTCTCCTCACCTCTTCAGTAACATTTCATATCTGTCTTACTATTAAGTATTTTCTTTACCAGCCAGATAAAGTAGTTAACATTTCCTCCTCATATTTTCAGTCGGACATTGACCCTGGTGGAGATGCTCACCATTTTTACCATGAGATCAGGTATTCCACAGGTGAGGTAGAGCCATGGCTTGAATCTTGTTGGGTCTAGATCCTTCCAGCAATGCTATTATCCACCCCCACATGCACTGTTAGCTGAATATTTCCCTCTTTAGTGGTTTGATTCAGTTCATTTTCTCACCCATTTTTTTCACCATTTGAAAGTGCGCTCTTCCTTTGCCAAGGTATTTGATGGGTTTTCTCTGCCTTACTAAAATGTTCTGCTAAATCTCATGGTGGCAAGCCAATATGGCACAGGCTACTGGACTCCACCCGCTGTGCTCCAGCTTCCTCCTCCCTGGTGGGATTTTCCATGTGTGTTTCTTATACACAGCATATTGTTGGATTTTGCTTCCTAATCCACTGTGCTAGATTATTTCTGTTAATTGATTAATTGAGTCCATTTACATTGATGGTTATAATTGAGATGTATTGACTTATGCTTAACATGTTATTTACCTGGTGTTATTTATCACTGTTTCTCCTGTGTTTAATTTTTTCCCTATTTGGTGGGTTCTTTCCATTCTCATTTGTAGAGTTCTGGTCACTTTAGTCCCTCTCTAGAATATCTTTTAGTAGTCTGTGTAGGATTTGCTTTTTCATCATGAAGTTCTTCAGTTGTTCTTTGTTGTGGAAGTATTTCATTTCTCCATCAAACTTGAAAGAGAATTTTGCAGGGGATAGCACTATGGGCTGGAGTTTGTTTTCATGGAAGACTTGAAGTACTCTTCTCCATTGTCTTGTTTGCTTGATGGCTTATGAAGAGAAATCTGCCATCATTCTGATGGGTTTCCTTTAAATCCAATCTGTGTCTTTTCTCTAACAGCTTTTAGTATATTGTTCTCATGCCAGATTTCTGGGATCCTGAGTATTATATGTCTGGGTGTGTTTTTATTTGGGTTGATAATATTTGGAGTTCTATATGCTTTGGTTACTTGAATGTCAGATTGGTTCCACATATTTTGGGAAGTTTTCTACCATTACTTCTGCTTATTTTTTTATATCATTTGTGTTGACTCCTTTTTCTCATTGATGTCTAGTCTCATGTTTACTTTTGTATCATCTTCCAGATGTTGAAGTATTTTTTTCCTGCACCTTATTTGTTTTTGAGAGATCTTTTCTTACCTTTTCACTAGCAGCAATGGTGTATATAAGATCCAAAACTCTAACTTCACTTTCATTCAAATGGTTTTGCTAGCTTTTGATTGAGATTTTAGTTTCCTGTATATCTTTTTGATTCTGCTTCCTGCATTCTATTTCTTTACTATATTGCTCATTCAAAGATTGCATCATTTTTCTAATCTCCTCTATTTTTTTTTAACTGGAGATTGAACTCAGGCCCTTGCTCTTGCCAGGGAAGCGCTTATTCCACTGAGCCATGTCCCTGGCCTTTCTCCTCTATTTTTTATCAGTGTTTTCTTTAGAAGCACTTAGTAATTCTTTCATTATGGTTATCATTTGTTTTTTATTTCAGAGATTATTTCTGTTCTGATTTCCTCTATACATTTCTGCACTTGTTTCTTTACTTCAAGTGCTATTAATTCAGAGATTTCAGTGGTGTGATTTCCAATTTCTTCTATGATAGTGTTTCCTGCATTTGTTTTGCATGGGCTTGGGGCCTGTGACTGTATTTTGCTCCTTCTCTTTGTCATTTTGTATAACACTGTCCTCTGACCTACCTTAGCACTTACCAAAATTCTTAGCTATGATAAATTATACAGTTAAGGAAGTTATAGTTTTGTATTTACAGAGCTACAATTAATAACACTAATAATGGGTAGTGATATTTAGCAGTTGGCAAACTTTTGTAACTAATGGGTTTGTATTTTAGAGAGTAAGAGCAAACATTGATCTCAGCTTACAGGGTCTGGATCTACCTCATTGGAACTTGTCCAGATGTGCCTGGCTTTGGTCTGGCTGCTGTGCTAAGCTTCTTCCTGCAGCAGCTCATGGCGGTGACCTCTGTGCCAGTCTGGCAAGATGTTCAGTTCTTGGATTAGCTGGGTGAGTCTCGCCCCTAGACTCTCTACAGGGAGTTCTGCTACAAGGTTCCACATGAGACCTGGACTGTCTGATGGAGGATGTTCCCTCAAGTGTGTGGATGATCCTACACACACGCTGGTCTGGGCTTTGTCTGGAAAGTGATTTGGGGAGTGGCAAGACGTCAGAAGGTTCCACACTCATGGGGTCTGGCTGAAGAGGGGTCGTGGGTGCAGAGAGCAGGCAGAAGTTTCCACACTCACGGTGGGCCTGGGGTCTGACTGGAGACCTAGCAAATTTTTCTTCACAGCTAAAAAAAACACATTAGATATGTAAGTACACTTGTGTAAATTATGAAATTATATATCAAAGTAGAATGAACTTAACCATACATAGAGTCACTCAGATTCTACACTATGTGATGTTGGAAAAAATTTATAGTCTAACATACTTAGATTGATAGAATGCGGGGGTGGGATCTCAGGAGCATATAGTAACATGCTGAGCTGGGTTATCCTAAAAGCCTTGATATCATTGGACTAAGCCAGATCCTTGAAAAATGAATGAATTTGGAACTATATGAAGCTATCTCATCAAAGGACATTAAAGGGATGTGTAGGAGTTAGAATAAAAAATGTAAGTTTTCAAAGGAAAAAAAAATAACTAATGTTTATTCTTTTCCTAAGATTAGAACAATGGACAACACAGAAGCCAAAAATATCTCTGGGTCTGTAAGTAAGTTCATTCTCCTGGGTTTCCCCTGCCGCAGAGAGATCCAGATCCTCCTCTCTGTCATTTTCTCCCTCATCTATCTTCTGACCCTTGTGGGGAACACATCCATCATCTGTGCAGTGTGGTCCAGCACAAAGCTCCACACACCCATGTATATTCTCCTGGCAAACTTTTCCTTCCTGGAAATCTGCTATGTCAGCTCTGATGTGCCCAAAATGTTGGCCAATCTCATCTCTCAGACCAAGAGCATTTCCTATGCTGGATGCCTGCTCCAGTTCTACTTCTTCTTCTCCATGTGTGCTGCAGAGGGCTACTTTCTATCAGCAATGTCCTTTGATAGGTTTCTTGCCATCTGTCGACCTCTGCATTATCCCACAATCATGACTCACCAGCTTTGTGCCCGCTTAGTAGTCTTGTGCTGGGCTGGTGGTTTTCTATCCATTCTGATGCCTGCAGTTCTTATGTCCAAGGTCCCCTTCTGTGGTCCTAATGTGATTGACCATTTTTTTTGTGACCTGGGACCTTTGCTGGCACTGTCTTGTTTACCAGTTCCTAACACTACTTTAACTTGTGCTACTGTGAGCTCACTCATAATTTTCATTACTTTTCTCTACATTCTTGGGTCTTACACCTTAGTTCTGCGAGCTGTGTTGAGAGTTCCAGCTGGCTCAGGCAGGAGCAAAGTTTTCTCTACATGTGCTTCCCATTTCTTGGTAGTTTCCCTGTTCTATGGATCAGTCATGGTGATGTATGTGAGCCCAGGTTCTAGGAGTCATCCCGGGACACAGAAATTTGTGACATTGTTTTATTGCATGGCAACCCCATTCTTTAATCCTCTAATCTACAGTCTCCGGAACAAAGACATGAAAGATGCACTGAAGAAAGTCCTGGGAGCACCATCAAAAGAAATTTCTAAAAACATAGAGAAATGATATAAATATATATATATATATATATATATATATATATATTATATATTTCTATAGTGTATACTTTTCTATCATTATTCTTTTAGGAATACAGACATTTTCTCATTTAAGAATAACTGTTTTCTGAAACATCTGAGTGTCTGATTCTATAAAAGTATGACATTATACACAAGGAACTCTCATGCTATCTCAAAATCAAAAAGTAACCATAATCTGAAGGGCTCATTGTAATAAAATTTTGTTCAATTATTATTCATCAATGTACTGGCTTTTCATTTTGGAAATGTGTATAAAACCTGAAACAATGTAATCAATTTGGTATTAGCAAAGCTAAGACTTATATTTACAAGTTGCATATTGGATTTTAACCTCTTATTTTAGTACTTCAAATGGGTTTCATATTTTCTTTCCAGTTACAATTTTTCCATAATCCAATGTAGTATTGCTGTGCTCCCCAAAACTCTGTTGTTTTATATTTTTCTTAATTGTTATCTTTATTAGTATGTTTATAGTGCATAATGATCACATTTCTCATGGAAGTTGGTATATATGCATAACACATCTTAACTATTTATATCTGCTTCTTCTTCCCTCTATTGCATTATCCCCTTCCTATTTAGACCTGTCCCTGTACTTCCTGTTATCTATTTTATTTTGGGAAAGACTTTGGCCAAACAATTATCAAAATCAATGCAAAAAAGGAAGGAACTTTTTGGACCACAGCTCAAGAGTCCTGGAAATCGTGGGTAGCATTTACAAGCAAGACCTACAGATTGGAGTCCAGTCTCAAAATGGAGGCAAAACTGCTGCCCTGTCGGTCCCAGTCCAACTCTGGCCATTGCCATCACTGCGTGGGGCAGGGGAGGGCATGATCCAAAGGAACCAGAATACTTAAGGAAGCTTTTTATTGGTAGTCTGAGTTTTGAAACTATTGCTGATAGTTTAAGAGAACCCTTTGAGAAATGAGGCACACTCACAGATTGTGTGGTAATGAGAGATCCTCAAACAAAATGCTTAAGAGGTTTTGATTTTGTGACTTTCTCTTGTGTTGAAGAGGTGGATGGAACAATGTGTGCTGGACTGCACAAAGTTGATGTGCATGTAGTGGAAACAAAGAGAGCTATTTATAAAGAGGATTCAGTAAAGCCTGGTGCCCATCTAACAGTGAAGAAAATTTTTGTTGGTGATATTAAAGAAGATACAGAAGAATACAATTTAAGAGACTACTTTGAAAAGTATGGCAAGACTGAGACCATAGAAGTTATGGAAGACAAAGTGGGAAAAATGATTTGCTTTTATAACTTTTGATGATCACGACACAGTTGATAAAATTGTCATTCAGAAATAACACACTACTAATGGGAATAATTGTGAAGTGAAAAAGGCCCTTTCTTAACAAGAGATACAGTCTGCTAGATCACAAAAGGCTGTGGAGGTATATCTGGCAACTTTATGGATCCTGGAGGAAACTTTGGAAGTGATGGAGGGAATTTTGACCATGGTGGTAACTTTAGTGGAAGAAAACGTTATGGTGGTGGAGGAGGTGGCAGCAGATGTAGTTATGAAGGATGTGATGGTGGATGTAATGGATTTGGAGGTGATGATGGAAACTATAGTGGTGGTCCTGGTTACAGTAGTAGAGGAGGATATGGTGGTAGTGGACCAGGAAATGGAAACCATTGTGGTGTATATGGTGGTAGTGAAGGATGGTTACCACAAAGGAGGAAAATTTTGGTGGTGGTAACTATGGTGGTAGTGAGAACTATAAAGATTTTGGAAATTATAGTGATACAACAGCAGTCAAATTATGGACCAATGAAGGGGGGCAATTTTGGTGGAAAAAGCTCTGGTAGTTCCTATGGTGGTGGTTATGCATCTGGTGGTAGAAGTGGTGACTATGGTAGCAGAAGGTTTAAAGAAAAAAAAAAAAAAAACAGAAAAAGGCTACAGTTCGTAGCAGCAGAGAGAGTGAGGAGTTGTCGGCAAAGCTGCAGGATACTTTGAGACAGTCGTCCCAAATGTATTAGAGGAACTTTAAGAATCTACCACAGAAGAAACAATGATCAATAGTCAGAAAAGTTACTGCAACTTAAACAGGAAACCTTTCTGGTGCAGGATTGTCAGAGCCACAGTTTGCAAAAAGTGTAGCTCTTGATTAATGCAATGTAGTGTCAATTGATGTGCATTCCTGAGTTCTTTTTTCTTTTTTAGCTTTCTCTTTTTCTTTCTTTTCATTATGTCAGGTATATTGCCCTATAAATTGTGCTAGTTGTGCCAGGAATAAAAACTAAAGGAATTATTTTAAAAATCTGCAGGATAGGGCCAGAGGATGACTCAGTAGAATAAGTGCTTCTATGGCAAGCACAAGGGCCTGAGTTCAATCCCCAGTTCTGAAAAAAAAAGAATCTGCAGGACCACAGTCAACAGAATTTAATGCAGTTATTCTCAGAGATGCTTGTTCTGGCCATTATGTCCCTTCAATAAGATTGCTTAGACAATATGAGCATGTTGTCATATAATGAACTATCCCATCCTTTCTCTGTCCCATGACCAAAACTTCTGTATAAAATGCTGCAAGTACTTTTCTGCACCCTCTCAGGTCACTGAGTTACAAATAAATAACTGCAGAGGTCTCAATTCTGTGCTGCTTCTCTGAGGTGCTTTTCTATGCTGAAAAAGCGGCCTCTCTGAGTTCCTGGTGACTGAACTATATCTCTTCTCTGAGTAAGCATTTTCATCCTGTCCATATCCATAGTCACAAATGTGACAATCTTTCATTTTGTTCTTTATTTATACTTTGAATTTCTGCCAAACACCCAATGTATATCATTGAAACAGTCATGTTTCTTCCTTTGTGTTTTCTTTATTACCAAGTATTGATAAACTATCCCTGGTATGTAACAAGTGAAAATAGGAAATTCTCAAACTAAATTTACCCAAAATATGCACATATTCTCATATGCCAAAGTATTAAGTATTAGGGCCTGCCAAATAGCTCAGTGGATTAGTGCACTTGCAAGCAGGCACAGGAGCCAGAGGTTCGATCCCCAGGCCTGCCATGCAGGCCCTGCCTCCAGGTCATGCTAAGGCAGCAATTGAGACTGGCGTGGTGGCTCATAACTGTAATCCTGTCTCTTGAGAGGCTGTATACAGGCGGATCACTACAAGTGAAACACTAAATGCTGTGTAGACCCTTTCCTAAATACAAAAAAAGTATTAAGTATTGCCTGCCCAAAACTGGGGTTTTGCACTTTCTGAGCTTCTTAATGTGAAAAACATTTACTATTTCAGGAAATAAGCAAGGGAAACCAGAAAATGGACTGAATCAACCAAAATTTAAGCTGTTTAAAGGTAGTCACAAATTAATATGAACTCTTACACTTGAATTTACCACAAGTCAGCAGTCTGAAAAGATTATGTTTTAAACAATGTAACAAAATTCTGTTGGTGTGAGGGTGGCATTTGTGAGGTGGTTTACTGTATATTGAAGAAAATGTAATGGTTTCATTAACATCTAATGCACATCAGAGTTAATGTTCAAGTTTTAAACATAAAAATAATTTTGTGTGCCTTTTCCAAATTACTTTGACTTTTGGAGTAATTTCTATATTTGTATATGTTAAGTAACAATATTCCTCTAACTACTGTGGAACTCAGGAAGAATTCAGGGTCCTTGACAGTCCTGAAAGATTTTTTTCTCTACAGATTACCAGACTCTTCCTACCTGAGATAACTCTAGTGTATTGTGATTTTTAACTACACTTCTAATTCCCATACAAGAAAAGTGTATCCTGGCTGATGAAACAATAGAAAGAGAGAGATTTATTGGTGAGATATCAAGAATTTCACAGGATCAATGAAAGCAGAAAAGCCAAGACTCAGAGATGTTACTTTGCAGAAGCGGTCTGATGAAAAATCACATTCACCACAACCACAGCTGCAGTGGGCCTCTGTACCTTATGGCCACTAATGCCATTCTTTATGAGGAAATTCTGTTTTCTGCAATAATCATATTATCTGTTTCATCACAATTTTCTATCAATATGTCAATGTTGTTGTCCTACCTGCTTTTGTATTATCAGCCTTTGAGTAAAAATATACATTTCCATGCCTTTGATACGAAGAACCTAAGGGAACTAATATCTGGTGATATGTATTCCAATTATGCAAAGATAAATTTCAAGCTTGGCAATCACGTGACCTTCCCTAATATAAAAAAAGACAAAGAAAATGTGGTAGTATTTACACATGATGAAGTATTATTCTGCCATAAAGAAAGTAAATGAACAATTTGTAAGAAAATACATATACCTTGAATCTATTAAGTGACTTAAGTTATACAAACTTAAATATTGTATGGATACTCCTCTATGAGAAACTGAAATTGTAAATGAGTAACTAAATTGGATTAATTATATCTCATTTTCTCTATTTTTAATTATGCAATTGGCATGCTTTTCAGCAAATAAAATTTTTATTGTAAGACAAAACAGTATAAAATAATGGAACCCTCACATCTCTACCTCCCTACAATTAATGCATTTAGTTCACTGAGTACACTTCTGAATCATTTTTTTCTCAACACTTACATATGCAAATATGAATTGGAACATAAATGGAATTGTATTCATGTGTTGCTCTAGAAATGATTGAATCTTCTCTCAGGTTAAAAAGCAATTTAGCTTCTGCAAGATCTTCTGTCAGCTGGGGCCACATCAGGAAAGTACACTTGTAACTTCACCTCTTCTTAGAAAACCCAGATTCACTCTACACTCAATTATATACTTGGACAGTGCTGTATGGTACTCCATGTATGTACAACATCACCCTCTTGCCTTTCACATTGAAAACTTCATAATTCAAGACTCATCTCAAATATTGCTTTCTCCATGCAACATTTTTTTGACATTTCACACTCAGTCTTCTCAATCCTGTATTGTCCATACAACATTCCTCTGAGATCTTATTGTACTGATGTTTTTTGGATCTTAACCCCATTTCAATTGGGATTGTAGGTCTAGATAAAATTTTCCTAAAATTCATTTGGAACCAGAAGAGACACCAAATAGCAAAAGCAATCCTGGGCAACAAAGGAAAGGCAGGAGGTATCACAACCCATGACTTGAAATTATACTACAAAGATAATGTGTAAATCATAGTTCTGGCAAGAAAACAGACCCAGTGGTCAGTGGAAAAGATTAGAAGATGCAGGCACAACTACAAACACAGGTGGACAACTTGTTTTTGATAAAGGTGCCAAATATGTTCACTGGAAGAAAGATAGCCTTTTCAATAAATAGTGGTGGAAAAAATTGGCTTTCCACATGTCGAACGCTAAAATTAAACCCATGTCTATCACCATACACTAAGGTAACAATAGATCAAAGATTCAAATATTAAAGCAAAAACACTAAATGTACTAAAAGTATGTAGCTATATTAACAACATAAGGGTAGGCAGAGTGTTTATAAACAAAAACAAAACAAAGAAAATGCAATGGGAAATTCTTCAAAGAATCAACAACTGGGATCTCAACTTTTTGAAAAGTTTTTGCACATCAAAAGAAATCACCAAAAGAGTAAAAGAAAACCCATGAATTGGGAAACAATTGTAGCCAGCTATCCATCAGACAAAGGACTTCTGTCTAGAACATATAAAAGTTAATAAAAATCAGGCCCATAAAATTCAAAGACCTAACTCAAAAATGGACATCAGAGATGAATATAAACTTCTCAGATGATAAATTACAAATGGAAATAAATATGAAAGAATGTTTTTTTCATATTTTTTGGAACCAGATATTGAACTCAGGCCCTTGCACTTGCCAGGAAAGCACTTATTCTACTGAGCCATCTCCCTAACCCCTTGAAAGAATTATTTCTCATCAAAATAGTGCAAATTAACAGTGTTTTGTTTTGTTTTGTTTTGTTTTGTTATTTGAGGCTGGCCCAGCCCACCCTGGGAGCACAACTGGCGCAGCATGTGGTGCTGGGCATTGGATCATGGTCCCTGCATGTTTGCTTAAGCTTGCCTAAGCAGGTGCTTTAGTCTGCTGTGCTATCTCATCTGCCCAAAGAAGTACAAATTAAAACAACACCAAGATTCCATTTCACCCTAGAAAGAATGGCTGTCATCAATAAGTCAACCAGTAACAAATGCTGAAAAGGCTAGAGGGCTTGGGGAGAGGAATGCTCCTCCACTGTTGGTGGGAGTATAGATTGGTATAACCACTATGGAAATCAGTGTGGAAATTTCTCAAAAAGCTGGGATTGGAGATCACATTCAACACAGCTATTTCCTTCCTAGGTGTTTTTCTAAATGAACTGAAAACATTGTCTGTAGCAATATATGTGCACCCATGTTTATAGCAGTGCAATTG